GTAACACATGGGTTGGGTAAACATTATTTTGACCATTGTTGAGGTTGGGTAAATAAAAGATTTACTACAGTGTTTTTTGCTTTTCTTCGGTACCAACCGCAGGTATAAATCATGAACGGTCCCTAAAATTAGACAAATTGATTGAACATTTTTTAATATGTTGATTGAATACATTAATAATGATTGATACATTGAATTATTTTATATTAACATTGAATACATAATTAATCACAATGAATTGTATTATATTAATTAAAATTAATATTGTTAAAATTGTTGAAAACTGTTAACACTGTATAAATAAATGTATTTGACTTGTTTTAAATATATTAACATGATGAAATGTTTATTCTTGGTTTTTCCGAATAAGTTCAAACATTAATTGTGTTTGCTGATGCTGTTGTTGCATCAAAGCCACCATCTGATGCTGTAGCATTGCAAACTGCTGCTGTTGCTGATCCTGCTGCTGCTGTACTTGCTCACGTTGAAATTCTCTTTCCTCTTTTCTTTCCATTCGCTCTTTTTCCTTATTTTCTGTTTCCAGTTCCATCCTCTTGCCTAACCACTCAAATACCTCTCCCGACGTTTTCCTGGTTTTCTTTGCCTCTTTCTCCTTCCCCAATTGCTCGGCCAACCTCTTTCTCGACTCCCCCAAACACTCCATTGCCCGTTCTCGCATTTCCGTTCCTTTCGCTTTCTCCATTTCAATCACTTCCTTCCTTGCTATATTCTCTTCCTCCATATGTAAGTCTGTTTCCTCTTCTATTTGCATCAGTTCTTCCAGCAATTCTTCTCTTTCTGTTAATTCATCTCCCCCTTCTCCTGTCGCTCGCATCTCTCTTGCCAACCTTGCTCTGTGCTTCTTTGATAAGCTGTTGTAGTGGTCCTTCACAGACCTGGGTGTCAACTCCGTGTCAAAAATTGGGTTTAAATTATTGGCAACGGTTTGCCACCCAGACCCTCTCTCTCTCGACTTCTCCTTCTTGGCGAACAGCCCCTCTGCTGCAACCTCCCTTAAAAAGGTCACATCTCTTTGCTCAGACCAGACCATAATAGACCTACAATAAAATATATTTACTAATGTTATGACAATTACTAGACATCATAATTACAAAGTTTATACAACAAGCAAATACTGTAAGATAAATATTGAAGATATGTCATATAGAAATACACATCGATAAAATATATGTAAGTTTTAAATTCAGGGTATTAAGATACAAACATATGAAAATATTAAATCTGGTTTGGTTTGCTTTTGTAACATGTCACGTGGAAAATACATTTGTTTTTTTTAAATTAGTATCTCGCAGGAAATGAGTTGTGTTTTTAATTATTCCTAACAGGAAGTGAATTATGTTACCTAGCAACAGTAAACATAAAGGCTATAGTAGCTTGAGAATCTTCAACCGACTGAAGCGACTTGTGGCCTTGCAAAAACAAGTGGTTGTAAGTCCTTTTCTGTTGAATATGAGCTATGTTGAACAACACGCAACTATCATGCAGGGAAAAGTACAAACATATGGATCTGTAAAATCGGTAAATGTGTTCAACGAAAATAATGAAGCTGAAGCTAGATTTTATTAAGATGAATGCCTAGCTCTGGGCCTGGCTATGCTGTTTCTTTAATACTCCAGGTTCAGGTACTTTATATAAATTTAAAGCGTGAAATTTTCTCTTCTTTTATTTTATGTAAACAATATTTCTGGAAAGGTGTATAACAGCACATTTGTGAAAACACATTTGCTGTAGCTAGTGACATTATTTAAACAAAATGAAGTTTAAATTTATACGACTGTTGAATTTATAAATAACTGCATTCACCTTTTTTTTGGCATTGACGTTGCATTATCTTTGATTTTATCCGCCATTGTATCCCAGATACTTCAGAAACTGCAAAAAATGCGGAAAAGTCAATGAAAGAGTGTTATTTTTAATTCAGGAATTAACAAAAACAAAATTGTGATGTAAAACTGTCTGCGAATAAACTGTTTTAAACTATAAGCTACTGCAAAAAACAACAAGCACTACACGCATAAAATGAGAACATTACGCGTATAACTACTCTTGTTTATTGTGATGTGTAGACCATTATTTACGCCATATACTAGTAAATTCTTACAAAAAAGACAAATATAATATAAAACTACAAGTTTAAATAGTTTGCATGCGTATTACTGACCTTTTTATGGATAAAAATGAAAAAAATAGTTGACGTCTTTGTCAATACGTGAAAATCTCAATCTCGCGTCCTGAAAACCTCAAAGACGACGTCGCCATAAAAAATTGCGCGAAAGCTACGCCATAACACGCCATCTCACGTCCTCTTGACGTCCGCGTCTTGTTATCTAAAACCGTCTAATGTCGTGTGAATGACTGAAAAGAGAAAATTCAACCCATTTTTTCCAACATTGATCATGGGGCAGGGGGGAGGCCGACGTACTTTAAAATGGCCAAAAATGTGAAAAGTCTCATTATTTTTGCACGCGATGTAGGTATGGCAATCAGGTAACAAGTACCTATTTTAACTTCAGTTGACTTGTTGTCTGGATTTGGTGACTGCCCAGCCTAGACCTAGGCCTTTACTCGGCTGGCTTTAGCAGGTATCTTTGGCAGGTTTGGTCAATTTCGGGCTAGCACTTGGTAATTATCGCAATGGCCATTTAATCACCTAGACGACCTAGTCCCAGTCTTCTCATGTGAAAAAGTGCTGAATATTAAAAAAATAATAATAAAAATAGAAGGCCTAGGTCTAGGCTGGTGACTGCCAAGTTATCAAGCATGCCTCAGAACTGATCTCATTGCCCATCATTTACCAAGAGGAACAATTATGTAATTGAACTGTAATGTGCACATAAGATTATTTTGTATTTATAATATAAGTTATATTGTGTTTTTGGTGATCTACAGTAATTTGTAGGAATTCTTCATATCGTGGGTAAACCAAATTTCAACATACACTGTAGTTTTTAAATATATCCCAGTGACTACAGCTAGCGCTTGCTGTCACTAACTGTTTCCTGTATTATTCATCTAGCTATGATGTACCAAGTATAAACCAGGTTTAAATACAGGTAGTACTGTACTCTTTCTAATGTGCCTCCCCCTGATAAGGCCCCGTCTAATATTAAAAATCTCATTCGCACAGAAAACAAGTGTTTTTCCATATACCATTTCATGGAAAATATTCAAATAAGGCCCCTCTTCAAATACTTCCCTCTCAAACTCTCAAATAACCCTCTATCCAACATACTGTAACCTCTCCTCCAAAGGTACCCCAGGATATTACATTTCACATATTGATAGTATGTCATTTTATACCATGTTCCATAGACTATCTTGGTCTTCTACCTTGTATGTTCTTTTTGTGGTCACTTATTCATTTAAATAAGTATAGCGTCCAATAACTGCAAATAATCGCAAGGACAATTCTGGAAAACTTTCATTTGCCCAGATTCATCCCTGTTTTAAATCTCCCTTCATATTCTTCTTTGTGTGCTCCCCAGGATTTCCCGGACAAGCATTTCACCATCAAGTCTTTTACGAAGATTATGAATGACAGAAAAAGCATTAGATATTCTCTTTACATTGGTTTGGTTTACGTTTGGACCCAAACCCTTAAGTTGTTCTTTAAAGTAATGATTGTCATGCTCAAGGCCAAGATCCATAAAAACATTGCTTTCCACACCTCCTTTGTTGTTAACAATACGATTCCATTTCACACGCTCAGCTTCGCGAGGAGTTAACAAGGCATACATCTGAAACAAATGGTAAAGGGACTATAAAGCATACCGCTGTGCTCCCTGATCCATCCTGTCGGAAATGTAACAGGAACATCTTAATGCATTTTAAGAGACAGTCTCAGTCTCCTTCTCTACCAGCATCAATAAAGTTACGGAGTAACAAAGACATGTTCTAATGACTGCAATGATAATCAAACACGTAATCCTTTTCAAGTTTTCCTGATTTTCTTAGTCGTGTCTAGTTTCTGTTAACAAGTGAGCCTCTGGGATGTCAGGAGGTGGGTCTTGGCTAAACTCATGTTGCATCATACCTAATTGATGCTTTGCAACCTTGGGATCTTCCATCCTCATTTACCACTTGAGATTTCTGATAGGCTTCCCATGCCTGCAGTGAATCGATATTACTAAAATGTTTCATGAACATTTCCATGTCAATGATATATGTGCAAATGAACCATTTGATTACGCCATGCAAATATCTTTGTTTCACTGACTTTATTTGATCTTTCATTCTGTCATCAAAACCATTTTTAGTTGACTTGTCATTAACATTATTCATTCCAAAGAATATCATGCTAGCTGTATATCTTTTGCACGGTGCAGGAGGTGCAGGTTTATGCTGGGCGCCTGTAACAACACCTCGCCAATTACTAAGGTTGCGTAGGGTAAGTACCATGCAGGGGTGTAGGAGCAGGGGCCGGGGGGGCGCCCCCATTTGTGATAAGGGGGATAGCTTTCGCCCCCCCCAAAAAAAAAACATTATTGGATTTAAAAAGATAATAAAAAATTACTGCGAAATTCTCGAAACTGGAAGCATTTAAACGGTTCCAAACACCAACTCTAACCCTACTCCAAGTTTGTTTCTAAACCAATCTTGAAGAAAAAAGTTTTGACGAACTGTAATTCTGAGCAATAGCCATGTTACACGGTGCAATTTTTCTTGCAACTTGCAATGCATTTCTACTCTTGAGAGATGTAAAATTGCCTAACACGAGTCTTCATTACTCTCCACTGATGTTTTCTCAACATATCGAAAATTCTTCACTGATTTGACTAATTAACATCTCTCAAGAGTAGAATTGCATTGCAAGTTGCAAGAAAAATTGCACCGTGTAACATGGCCTTAAGTCTTAAGTAAGTCAGCAAAACAACTTCTTCCGTATTTCGTTTCTTGATGTGTCGTCCTTTCCTTCTAAGGCACTGTTCGTAGTCTGTATAAATACCGCTTGTTTGTATTTTTCTTAATTGTTAAGTTTCGTGTTATAAAAAGTATTAGAAATAAAGGGATTTAATTACATGGCTGGATTTCATGATCCTGATATGCGCCTAGATTTACAACCAGGTTATTTCTGACAAAATGGAATCAACCTGCAAAAAGCAATGCTTTATTTCAAGATGATCAATAAATTTTCACAAAATTATTACTGCGAAGAGGCCAAGAGAAGCCAAAAGGCATAATTTTCTTTTCGAAGCCAAACAAAAAATAAAAAAGCCACTAAACTTTGGGTTAGTACCTCGCTTGCATAGTTATTTTGGATCTTTGCCCTCGATCACAGGCACTCGCTCAAATTGTGCGTTGAAATAGTTACCAAACTTTGCGTTCAAAATTTACTAAATCGAGAATGTTTTTACCAAATTTAATTTCGCCCTCACCCGGTCTGACACGAAGAACCTGGGGACGAGGTTGACCAATATATTAGAAGTACCAAATGCAGGTAAATATTTTGATCGTCAAAAACTCGGTTAGCCTGAAAGCCACTAATTGTGTTATATAATCTTGAACGATCTGTGCCAGTGTATACTGAGGTTGTGCCAATAATAACAAAACGTTGGTTGGTTGGAATGCGACTACCTGAAAAATACAAGGAGAATTTCGACGTTTCGAGCGAAGGCACTTTGTTGGGAGGTTAGTAGCGGGGATCGAGAAAATTACATTGAGCTTTTATTACTAGTAGCGTCTAGTATTACACAAGATAACATTCAAACAAGACTTTTTACAAAAAAAAAAATACTGAATTATCAAACTCTCCAAAACATTTACCAACATTTTACCAAAAAATCTCATTTAATAGATTTGTCCAAAATTGACGAATTTTATTAAAATATTTTACCGAATCTTCATGAATTCTTACCTAATTTCATATTTGCATGGATAACTGGATCAGTTGGAATTTGAAATATTGCTGTCGTCAGTGATGTCGTCACTTCAAATTGTTCTTTAACGCTAGATTTTGGGTTTGTACCTAAAGTACCAGACGTTATCCCCTGAGAACGAGGTTGAGAATTATCTCATTTGAATACCATACAATGTCGTACAATACCAGTGTGATCAGTACTTTATGAAACAACTTCTGGGTGTATTTAATTTAGACAACGGGCTTGTCCTTTAACACGTACTCTTGAACTGTCACTACGCATTTTTTTGTTCCAGTTCTGATTCTTACGACTCTTTATCCATCTTTTCTATCGCCAACTACAATTCAGACATTCATGCAGCGAAGATTTTTTATTTCTATTCCTGGATGCCGAAACTTGTTTCAGATCTACTGCATCGTAGTTCCACCATAGACAATCCAGAAGACAATGTCTTCTGGATTGTCTATGGTTCCACAATGTAAACCAGTACATGTAAATTTCTCCTATATCCAATATTCCACCAGGCTCTCGGCCAAAAACAAATTACCAGTCCAAATGTTAACCTTAAAAATAGGCTGGGGTCAGCTAATTAATGTTTTTGCTACAAGAGAGTACTGGAACTAGGAAAAATTGACATTACAAAAATGGGATATTCATCTTACTTACCAGAACTTATTACATATTAACAGCCCATATATTAACTGATCAAGCCCATTGCTAACAGATCAAGGCCTATTATGTGGAAGTCAAATTTGAACTTGCTATACTCTAAAAACAATCTGGTTAAAACTTCCTGGTTCCAGAGCCGTAGCTAGCATGTATATTTGGGGGAGTGTAGACCAAAAATTTCCGAATGACGAAAAAAGTTTCCGAATATTTCATGGCATACGAAGCCACGAAGGTGTTTGCTATCCGGAAAATGAAGACGCAATTTACAAACAAAAATACGCATATGTTACGCACAGACATATTACAGTAGCTGAGTAGCATGCAGTGCCGTAGGAAGCTCTTTTTGATTGGGGGCTGAGAACGAGGGCGAAGGCCCGAGGAAATTTTTAAATTTAAAGTCTCTGAAATGCCATTTCCTATAGACTTTGGGGGAAGTTTTGACAGTATTCTGACGGTCAGAAAACAGCGTTTTAGTATGTCGAAATTTACACGAAGGCGTATTTAATTAACTATATATTGAAGAAGTTGCAGGAAAGTATGGGTAATATGATTCTTTGCCGTTTGTCATGGATAATGTAGCCGCTTAAAATTAATCAATTGTCACTATTTTAAATTTAGAAAAGAAGACGCGACCTCAAAGACGACGTGAAAATGACGTGTACAGTGTACACCTCGTGTTCACTTCCGGGTTTTAATCTGGGATGGCTTGTTTCAATAGGGCCATTTATACGGGACAAAATAAGTCGCGACTTACATAAGACGCGACTTAAATAAGACGCGAGTTTGTCGTATAAAAGGTACAAAATTCTTATGTAAGTCGCGTCTTGAATAAGACGCGACTTAAATAAGAACAGGAATTTTAGCTGTTCTTATTTAAGTCGCGTCTTAAATAAGACATTTTGGATAAAAAGTCCAACTGCACATGCCCGAAACTTGAAACAACGTAAAATTATTAGCCTTGCATATTAAAAAAACAAAACAACCAAAACAACATTTTAGCTACAACAAGTAAATAAGAGTAGAGCCGTAGAGAACCATTTATACGATAATTCCGCTTATATAAGACGCGTCTTATGTAAGTCGCGACTTATTTTGTCCCGTATAAATGGCCCTAATGTTTGTCTTTTTCGAAGCAAATTTTTGTTTTCTTGTTACCTGCTTATTCCTGTATTGTTTTCAATCAGTTGTCAAGTTATGTGCAAGAAAAGGCTATATAATACTGGCCAAGTGTTTCCTGATGAATTAGTATGAACATTCAATAAGTTTTTTTTTCAGAAAATGACGTATATTTCGGAATTTTGAAAAGTGAACTTTGTTGCATCATTTGGAATAAATACTATAGCTGCTGAGCTGCAGGTATTGTTTACGAGCTAAATGCTTTAGTTTGTAGCCTATTCAATCAAGTTTCTCAACTTTTAGTATGAATATGGCATCAGTGCTTATATTGGTAATATTTAATACTGTTTTATATACGATAGTTTTTCACGCTGGAAAGCGGTTTTTTACTTTTCCTACTTTTTCGCACTGTTGTGACAGAGCAACTAAAATTGATTGAGTTTTTACTGCTTTTAAGTGCTTTTATTTTTCTATCTTCCCAAGTTTTCCTGATTTTAAACAGTTTTTAATATAACTTCAGTTCAGTTTGCTCTAAAATGTTTGTTTTGGTGACGAATACTAGCGCTATTGAAGTGATTATTAACAAAATGCTTGCAGTTTTGTTGATTTGTTATGGCGACCGAAAGTATTTGTCAAAAATTAACACGTTCAAAATTTAGCGAAATACTAGAAAAACAACCTTGTCGATGAAAAACCATTACCTAGAATCATTGAACAATACATGGGGAACAAAATAGAGATAATCTAAATATCTAATTGTCGCGGGTCGCGGGTATTTTTCGCGGGTCGCGGGTGAAGCGCTCAATGGCTGTGAACAGCGTTGTGAACGACGGCAACACAAACAATGATACTGAACTCGATCTCACTCTAAATGTGAACTCCACTTATATTTGGCAGAAATACGGAAAATATCTTGAATGCTGCGAAGACAGAAGAGTAAAATGGTTAGGGGACTTAACTTATCTAAAGGATTTTGTGTCAAGTTTGTACGGCAATGTCGGCAAATGGAATTCTCCTGGGGGATCAGCGAAGTGTTTTCGGCACGATCAAATTTGCCTAACCTGGTATGCAAATAAAAAGTCTTTGCTTTTTCAAGGTGAGGAGGGAAATAAACTAAAAGATCTGATTATAAAATGCTATTATAAAAACAGTGATTTGGCGCACGACCATGCCAATACATGCGAACAAGAACCTATCGTATTAGTCAACAACGGTAGACGAGAGTCACCAAATGAGTGTCAAAATTGTAGTCGTCTGTTTGCAGAAATGACTGAAGTCAATCGCAAAATTGATGGGCTGCATGAGATTGTCAATAATCTCTATCAGTTGAATACAAAGTTTGTAAATTATGAATATTCTAGAAATGACGACAAACGAAGTACTTGTGAACTGGGCACGCAAACTGATCTGTACTCGGAGCAGAGTGTTGCTCAACACCCATCCGTCATACAGACTGCTGATATCAACTTGGCTACCGAAATAGAAGGCCTCAAGTTAGACTTTGTAATTATAGAATCGAAAACTGCGAGAGATTTAGAGGCTAACAGACAAGCGATAGAACAGCTTCGAGGCGAGCTAGCGACCGTAGGGGAGAAGATTAGATGCTCCCAAGGGTGTCGTGTACTGCCTAATGATAATGCTAAAGAAAAGTTAAATTATTCAACCCAATTAAGCTTTCAAACACCAATAAACGTTCATGCTAATCATGGTAACTCTAATTCAATTCAACCATGCGTTACTCACTCACCAAAAAAAACTCACTCACTCGCCGAAAAAAACTCAAATTATTCAACTCAGCCAAGTGCACAAATATCAACAATGTGTGAAGCTAATCATGGTAATCTAACCCAGCGAAGTCCCCAACCACCAACAATTGACCACAACGTAACAAATACTTGCGAAATAGGATCGGAAACAGTTCCAGAATGGAACACATTAATACCATAGCAGAAACTAAACCGTGTGCACCGCGGAGTACCACGATTGCTGAATGGATAGACCGTTTGCCCCTCGTTGAAACAGTACAATCAAAGTTTAGCACTGAAAGCCGTCTTTTTTTCGGAAACGCTACCGCAGGAAGAGTCGAGGCAGTTTGGTAAAACAGAATCATCGGGAATACATCAAGAATCGCCGAACACAAGATTGGCTCAATCACCTGAACCTTGTAGGCCATATTATGACTTAAGAACGGCAAGTCATGGATAGTACGAGTCTATGACTTTGAACACCAACATAATACCACTCACATCAATTTTTCATAACCTTGTTTCTGACTCATTAAATATTCAAAAGCAACACTCGTTCAATGGCTAATAAACTGGATGAGATCAGTGCAACTATTACAAATAATAAATGTGATGTTGCAATCATCACAGAATCATGGCTTTCGTCAAACATTACGAATGATCTCATTAAGATCCCCGGATTTTCAAGTATTCGCAAAGACCGATGTGACGATCAACGTGGTGGTGGACTCTGCACCTACATCCTACATCAGAAATACATTGGACTTCCTAGAATTAAAAGACTTATCTCACCCCGACATTGAATCACAGTGGTTCTTGATAAAACCAAAAAGACTTCCAAGAGGAATTGATGCAATTGTAGTAGCCTCTGTATACCACCGTCCACAAAATAACGATTCAACACTAAGGAACCATCTATTTGAATCCCTAGACAACGCCCTCATGAATTTTCCAAACGCAGGCATCGTCTTGTTAGGGGACTTTAACCAGTTTAAACCTGGATCATTAACTTCATCCTTTAATCTTAAACAAGTTGTGAAAAGACGCACCCGTGGTAACAATATCCTTGACAAGATTTACACTACCCTTTCGAAGCATTACATTGATGCCATTATACTCCCATGCATTGGACAATCTGATCACCAAAGTGTTCTCCTCAACCCGACTAAACAAAGTCCGAAGTCACTCAAGTCTTATACCCCCTCCTACATTACTAAAAGAGACTGTCGACCCGCAAACAAACAAGCCCTAATCACCACCTTATCCCAAATCAACTGGACCCCACTTTACCACGTAACTGCTCTAGATGATCAATTCAACCTATTCTCGAACAAACTATCCTCTGTTATCGATAGTCACCTCCCTCTGCGCACCATAAAGTGTTACCCTAAAGATAAACCATGGATCACTGCAGATATAAAAAAATTCATTTCTAAAAGGCAGAAAGCTTGGTTAACCAGCAACACTATCATGTATAACGTTTATCGTAACAAAGTTAGAAAACTATGTAAATCTGCTCGTCAGTCCTACTACGATAAGAAAATCCTTAATACCAGTGAATCTAACCCAAAAAAATGGTACGATAACATCAAGTCTATTTCTGGTCTATCTAAATCGGAACCTTTTTCGAGCATCTTCCATGATGGTGAGTTCAAAAGAGGTCCTGAGCTTGCTGAACTAATTGCCGAATCTTTCTGTGCTGTTTCAAACGAATTGGCCCCACTCTGCTTCAATAAGCTTCACATTACATCTGTTCCTGATGAGTACATAATATCAACCCAACAAGTTGAAATCGAATTGGAAAAGATCAGTCTTCAGAAAGCAATTGGCCCCGACGATATCCCCAACTGGGTACTGAAATCAGCTGCACCGTTGCTTGCTGGTCCAATATGTTCCATCTTCAATGCCAGCATTGCACAAGGTTGCATCCCGACACTCTGGAAATCAGCAGACGTTATCCCAGCGCCAAAAATATCTAATCCCAAATCAGTTGATAGCGACCTAAGACCTATTTCTCTCACACCGGTGCTGAGTAAATTATTGGAAAGCTTTGTTTTTCGGTGGCTTTTTGGTTATATTAAACCATCAATCGACCCGCTCCAGTTCGGAAATATGAAAAATTGCTCCACCACACACGCTCTTATCCACATGATCCATAACTGGCTAGCCGAATTAGAAAACCCTGGTTCAACTATCAGATGTTGTATGATTGACTTTTCGAAAGCCTTTGATCGCATCGATCACAATATTTTACTTCATAAATTACAACAACTCAACATCCCTCCTATCTTGTCGAATTGGTGCGCTGAGTTCCTGCATGACCGATATTTACGTGTCAAGCTTGGCCAGAATAAATCAACATGGCGACAAATAAATGCAGGGGTTCCACAAGGTACAAAACTTGGACCCCTCTTCTTCCTTGTGATGATAAATGACTTGCAAACCAACACTCCAATGTACAAATATGTCGATGACTGCTCCACATACGAAATCGTTTCAAGATCGTCCCCTACTTCATCGCTTCAAGCTAATATAAACACTATAAATGACTGGACCAATCACAACAACATGCGGCTTAATGTATCTAAAACCAAAGAACTGCGTATATCCTTTCTTAGAGTCCCTATGGTATTCGATGCCCTCTCGTCATCTGGTTTAAACATAGAAATCGTCCAGACCTTCAAACTTCTGGGAGTGATAATATCATCGGATCTTACCTGGAATGCGCACATTGATTACATCTGCACCAAAGCAAGTAAACGTCTTTATGCTCTAAGGATCCTCAAACGATCTGGTGCCCCAGCCAATGATTTAATAACGGTCTTTTGTGCATTTATTCGTCCAGTTTTGGAATACGCCTCACCTGTATGGCATTTTCCTCTCCCTCAATTCCTTGCTGATCAAATCGAGAGTATACAAAAACGTGCATTGAAAATCGCTTTCCCCCAGTCCACCTATACTACCTCACTAAGAAACACTGGCCTTTTTACACTTTACCAGCGAAGAGAGAATCAGTGCTTGTCATTCTATAAGAATATCCATCAACACTCAGACGATAAGTTGAGAACGCTACTTCCCAGTGCTATATCTCACAAATTCAGTCTAAGAAATAAACGCACTTATCCTATGTATAAGTGCAAAACTGAACGATATAAGAACAGTTTTATCCCAAAGTGTGTTAGAAACTGGGACCGACCATAGACATAACAAAATATTTTATAGTACATATCATTAATATAGTTTATATTATAGTAGTTTTAAATTGAACTTTTTGCAAATTTAAAAATTTTAATACTATCTATGTAATATCACGTTTTTTAAATTTTTATTAATTTACAATGTGGTAATTATTAAAATCAATCAATCAATATATATATATATATATATATATATATATATATATATATATATATATATATATATATATATATATATATATATATATATATATACATATATATATATACATATACATATATATATATACATATATATATATATATATATATATATATACATATATATATATATATATACATATATATCCAGATGATCTTGATACGCGGAAAAGTACTGGCACTAGTTGTCAAATAGAAATCCATTTTATGATTAAAACAACTGAATATCTCGTGTAATATACTTTATTTCGATTCCATATTTTTGCCAGAGCTATAGTTCTCATAACCAAACATAGTTACAAAATTTCAACTAGTTTCATAAAGAATAACGAAAGATATAATTGACTGAACACATCAAAATGGATTTCTATTCGGACGACCCTTTCTGAGCGCTGATTGGCTAAAATACGAACACGAGATCACCTGGAAGTGAGGCGCTCTTTTTTCCACCAAATATAAAACATATACAAAAAGAATAAAAAAATAATTGCACCCACTGATCCTAAGCATGAAATCAGAACCAAACAATTTTTTAGGTCATCCTAATTAAAGAAAAATTCATGAGTTCATCTGTTCCTATGAGTACATTTGTATTCAGTTTTATTTAATTTCAAAGGTCAGGGAAAATTTCATTAGACGAGCAATGTAAAAATCGCCGACAAGATTTTTTCAGTGGGTGTTCCCCCCCCCCAGCCCCCTAGGGCGAGGCTTATTTTCCAGTACTTCTGAACTGGGGACTAATTAGTTTAGGTCGCCGAGTAAAATTAACGTTTAATTTCACGCGTATTTTCAAAGTTTGTGAAACTTTTAAAACACAAGTGAAATTAAACCTTAATTTTACGAGGAACTATGCGATTACTTGTTAATCATAGAGAGCAAATTGTGAACTTGTCAAGTTCTTTAACCTCGTATGTCTCGATCCATGTCTTCGCCTTTTCGCCGCATGTTTCTTAATGCTGCCCTGCCTGCCAATTTCTTAAACATTCCAACCAATAAATTTGTACTTTTTCTAGTGTTCAAGTTTTCACTAAAAGTGTTTAATTCTTCAATAATAACATTATCCGCGACGACAAAGCGAGAAGCAATTGTTTTTATTGCTATTTAAAACAAGTTTACAAGAAACTTCCCGCGCTTGCGTCTCAGCCAATCGGGTACAAGTAATTTGGCCCTGAATTAAGAAAAAATGCCATCCTCATTAGCCAATCATATTTGAGTAATTTTGCCCTCTATATGATTAGAAAGAAAACTAATTAAATGGAGGATTGGGGTAAATGAAAGAAATACCTAACAGTAAAATACGGCTGTGCAGGTCTGACACCCCTTTATACTGCAGTTGTGGTGAAATAAAGGATTTGTTGGCAAATGAAAATTATGTTCAAACAATGTTCTCAAATGATGCATATTGTTTGCAAGTAAACAAAATTCAGTGCTATCAAATAAATCTAAACAAGGTTTTATGTGAGAAATTTAAAATGAGGCACTAAATTCTTTATCGCTGGAATAAAAAAACTAACATTAATCTTTAGCTTGGAGTAAGGTTTTAGCTTCAGATAATTTTACTCGTTAGTTAAAGGGATACTTTTGATCCTGGCTACTACTTTGCCAATTCATCAATATACTGTAGAAATCACCGTAACCTTTGCGAGAAAACTGCTTAATATGACATGCAAATCATAAATTAACTTTTTAGAAAAAATTATTGTAACTGATTTGACAGCTGAGTTAGCAATCTCCAATATCTCGTACAAATGGGTACTGAGTTTTACAGAGCAGTTATAGGGTAGCTAATTACGTGAAATCAAACGTATGCAATAAGCACGTCCACCATGACTCATATTAAACAAAAAGAAATTGAGAACGAAAAGAAAATTTCGGTTGCATGTGTACCACATGCAGTCTTTTTTTGTTCATTGATGTGACATGCAATTGAGCATTTTATTAGTCAAACTATTACTTTCATTTTTGCTTTCTTTTTGCTTAATCTGAGTTTTGGTATGCCTGCAATTTATATGAATGTATTGAGAGAGTGAAGAAACATGTCGTAACCAAATTAAACATTTCTTTATAGAACAGGAGATTGGACAATGTCTGAAATTGTCGACTGCATCGCTTGGATCGTCCGAAAGACATGCTGGACATTTTACGTTTTCTGCGAGTTCATATTTCTTCGAATTCTTGATTTGCTGGGTTTGTTCTTCAACATCCTGGCATGTCTGACCATCATTCGACTGCCGTGTATGATAAGACAATTTCCAATCATGGAGACCATGGTTGAGTGGCGTTCAGTTGGTTTTGTTCACTGCCTGATATTTCTAATGGACATTCCAATCATTTTCATGGCTTTTGGTGTCTTGGCTTTTTCTCTGGGAATTGTATATTTTCCAATGAAACGAGAGATTGAAGAAAAGAGTATTAAGTGTGATTACACGTACAAAAACGACAACGGTATATATTTTGGAGGATTCAAACTGAGAAAATTAGTAGTTCGTTATTTTTTCATGCATTTGACAGGAATGTTATGTATTCCAATGCTCGTGTTTACATTATTGTCTTGGCGGTCTGTGATTCTTGTACGGAAACTTCAATTACACAACTATTTCCATTGGAAGTGGCGTAAGGTGATTCTTTTGCAGTTTCTTCAGTTGTTCGTTGACATCCCTTGCGTATTCGTCGCGTTTTTTGTCGTTATAAGTTGGAGGTTACCATTCTACATTCGTGGCGTGAAAGAAGTAAGACAAGATCATGGTTGGAGTACATGGCGGTTTGTGGCTTTTCAGCATTTCTTGCTTTTGTTTGTTGATTTGTTTTGTTTCCTGTTGTTCATCCTTACAATGCTTACATGGCGTTTTCCACTTCTCATCAACGAGCTTCGAAGTGATTCCTGTACTAACCAATGGGAAGCCAGAACTATTGTAGTTAAACAATTCTTACTAATCTTTGTCGACATACCATGTATTCTTTGCTTTCTTGTTGTCTTGGTAACTGTATGGCGACTACCACGATTTGTAAAGAACTTGAAGAAGGACGAGTGGGAGATCCGACAGAATTGTGTGTACCAGGCCGCAATGATGGTGGTGGACTTTGTTTGTTTTCTCATCTTTGGGATAGTTTTATTGACTTTATGGAGGCTGTATCCACTAATCAGGGACATTAAAAAATACAAGAAACGAGTCACCTATAATCCAGATGCCGCAGAAGCGGGGACTTCTGTTCCTGAAAGTTCATACCATGTTCCAGAATTAAACGTTGTATCACGTAGATCTTCGTGGAAAATCAGAAAAGCAATTTGCAAACATTTCCTATTTTTGTTGATTGATATACCAGCAATTTTAATTTCAACGTTTGTATTGGTCACAATGTTTAGGTTACCGTCCCTCGTGTCAAAGCTTATTCAGTCTGGTGATTTTTACGCCGAGTTCGCTATGATTGTTTTTATGGAAGTTGTCCAACTTCTTGTTGACATAGTGTTCGTGTTTTTCTTTATTCTTCTCATGATACTACGTCCAGTTGCATCTTGGGTACATTTACTTGAGGACGAGGAGCATCTGCAATATCGCCACATTTGTTTTCATATCAAATGGATTCCCCATTTGATCAAAGAAATTAAAGAAAAGTTGCCCGTGGCGTTGGACGAGGAGTTCTCGATGTGTTTGAAAGATAGAGTCCATATCGTGCAAGCTCGTACACGTATGTCCCAGCTATGTCAGCCGTATTTACAGCAATGGAAATTATTGCATGGCAAAGTGTTGGAAAACGATGGTTACCCTGATCTTGCACATTTGATCGCCACAGTAATGTGGTACGAAGGACGCAGACCATATAAAATGATCCGCCTTTATGCCTGTGAACTTTCATATCTTGAAAAACCAGTACCAAGTGTTCATGATGAAAATATTGCCAAGTGCCAGCGGGAAATGGCGGAGTACGAAGAAAAGCTAACCTCAGTTTACAACAAGCTTGAAAAATATGCTCCTCCCAAAGTACCATTATGGAGTAATAGAAACGGCCTTTTTACAAGAAGTCGTCGAGAAACTCAGCAGGTGTTGTTACGTTTGCCTGGTGGTAACTTTATATATTTTATTTTACTACTGATTAACTTACTCTTTATGTATCGTGGTCCAAAACTTGTTGTGAATCTCTACCGTCGCTGGTATGACCGTCGTTCTATTATATTACGTTCACTTAAAGAATACCTTTTAGATGGCTTGACATTTCTGAGAATTTTGATCGTTCTGATATTTGTTTATCGAGCGCCTGCTCTCATTCTTGACATGACAATCGATATATTTCAAAAACACAGTTGGACAGCAGTTAGGGCAACTGCCAAACGGTATCCAGTTATGATAATTGAAGATATAGTAGGCGTTATCTCTACGATATTGGACTGGCGTACCGTACGTTATCTTTTTACCGCCGTGCTCTTTGGTATTTTAATTCCTGCTGACGTGCTGTTAACGGTATTCAAGCTTTCATTTGATAAATGCACGGCATATTTACTCTCAGGTGTATTGTTTCTCATCTACATGGGATTTCCTTTTGCATTTGCCTTCCATTTTGGAGAAGTACTCTTGAACGACGGTTTTGGGATCAGCATACCTTACATTATTGGAGCATATGGTCTTTCATTTGTAGTCGTCCTCATATTTTTGATATCAATATTACTCCGAAACAGAGGAACTAAATTTTCTGTAGCACCAGAACCGTATGACTATGTTCGTTTGAATTGGGAGAACGTACATGTAGTTGTGTTCGAGATTGTTGAAGTATTGCAGTTGATAGCTCTGGTTTTCAGCCTGGATGGAATACCAATGGCTGGTAGTGAAGTTCTTAATGAATATTCTAACTACCTACTTTTTAATTTTGCGTCATTTGAAGTCAAACTTTCCCTAACTGTCGCGGGATTTTTTGTATGGTTCGTCGTATGCGGTGCACCAATTATACTGGAGAATATCCTAGAGGAATTTAATGAAGGAAAGTGTGCTTCAAATGCCGGATGGAGATTAGTCATGTCTCTGTTTTCCAATACTTTATTTCTCTCAATTATTGAAGGACTTAGTGGTCTGGCCGCATGCGAGTACTCGGACAATATTTGCAACAATAATGGTACCAACACCACATGTTATACTTCTTCTCTTCTCGACGAACCAGATACAATGTGTTGGGTTGGAAAACATCGTGGTATAGCACTATTTGGTCTCTGGGGATTATTTTGGTATACAACGACCTCCATCATATATGGTACTGAGTGTGGTGAAGTAGATAGTCCTAATGTAGACATCAAATTCTCTCCTGTGTACAACACCGTGATTAATTTCCTCAAAGCTCTCATGATTGGCGCAGTCGTGTTAATCTCGGCAGAAATTTACGCCGTTTTGGGTTTTCTCCTCTTTCTGACTTTAGTTGCAGTATTCTTTACAATTTTCTTCAAGCGGATGTTTGGATACATGTGGTGTAACTCTGTGGTAGTGAGTTACTTCCGTGTTGCGTCATTTGTTATCCTCGGGTTCACCGTTTTAACGGCATTCATCGCTAAACATTTGGATGACAGCGGATCGTTTATACCTTTAGAAGTGTTTCTTTCAACGAGTTTTGGAACATTGCTTGTCGCTTTCATTGCATCACTGTTTCGGAAAAAGCAAACTGCTACAGAAAAACAGCGCAAACAATTTCGGGAATATATTTTGACGCTTGAGAAACGTTTAACAAAAGGAAAATTGATGTTGGCTTCTTGGAAAAGCAAACGAAAACAGTGGCGAAGGCTTGTTCGACATGTTTACCAAGCTCAAAAATATGATCGAAATGTTTCTCCTGAAGTCTGGCAAGGATTAGAGCTGTCGGAAAGAACGGATGGTTATACCACACCTCAGATCGGTCCACCACCCGGCCCTCCACCTGGTCCTCCACCTGGTCCTCCACATGGTCCTCCACCTGATTCTCCACCTGGTCCTCCACCGGACTTTGGTGCACAACACCCTAACCCTTCTTCACAAAACGTGCCAACCACAACACCTGGTGATTTTACTGCACCTCCTCCCGCTGGCCCACCACAACATTCTAACCCTTCCTCACATCTTGTCTTGCCAAGCATCACCACTACAAACAGTGCTTCACCTCCAACTGAAAGCATATCTATAATGCCTGAGCACTATGAAGGCACGTATGACTTAAACGAGTTCTTAGACAGCGGAGCAGAAAATTATTACCACCAGAACCAAGTGGATGATGAAACTAAAGATGATGCTGCCACGATGCGTCATTTGCAATGTAATGGTAAAAATTTACTTTTGTTTCTGGAACGATTTATTCATTTCAGTGCATTCTCCTTCTCGTTTGTTGCTCAAATACCATTTTGGCGTCAAGCGGTCAGTGGCAGTAACTGGACAGGTTTATTACACTGTGTTCAGGTGTTGGACAAAGCTCTGACAGGAAACTACAACGAACCTACGGGACTAGATGTCTCGCTGGGTAATCAGAACATGTTACCGGGTGCTCTGGATCCTGATCCGGATAACGGAATGCCACCATCTTTTACTCCTGAACCACGTGATCCTGAAAGTATCAAGCGCATGTCTGATGCTGAAAGAGAAAGAGCGTTACAAGATATTCGACGACTGTGTCCTCTAGAACCTACCTGGTTAGCAGTTTTTGATAAAGTGCTGCCTACAATCCCTGTCATTCGCAAATGGAATCTTGAGGAACATTCTAACAGTTTTGAACTCGTTTTACGACGATCGTGCCAGGCTACAGTTGTCGAAGTTGGTCCCAAGGGAATTAAACTTGCAAAAGGAGCAGTTATTGTTCTTCCTAAACGCCTCAAAGGTGTCCTTTTTGATCATCACTTGACATTTGAGAAACACTGTGAACCAGTGGGAAAGAAAGGTCCTGTGTCTGCTGCTGTTTCTGACATTGAAATTCTCAAGATTGGAGAGAAAGTTTACTTTTGTTCTAATGGTAAAAAGATCAACGCTGAGAAAGCAATTGATTCTCTGAAATCAATTAAGTGGAATTAGAACAATTCTCGTATTTTATCGAAGCGATCACTCAAAACAATGGCTCTTGCCTGTGTCGATGATTTTGTGAATTGATATATAAATAGTGTGCTAGTCTGTGAAAATAGTGGATATGGGTCACATGATTCGTGATTGGTAAATATATAATTCGTGATTGGTAAATAGATAATATTATTTAGTACAACGCCAATATTACGCTTTCCTTGATAATATTTGCAATTTCTTTTTAGTGTGATTTGTCGCGTATTTATATTTATAAACCTACCACACCCATTTTCTATTGTTCTCGGTCGGTTTTGGTTTCCGACTAAAGACCAGGTTCTGAAGGTTGGGCTGAAATTAAAATGTAAGACCCGGTATGGGTCTTACATTTAAATGTATAATGAGCCCGGTAACGGGCATTAGTCTTGAATTCGGGACTTGCATTTGCAACAAAACTCAAGCCCCACATCACCTTTTCGACCAGAAAACGCTGCACGTCTCTGAGTCGAGAAAAGAGACAACAGCCGTGTACCCCAGAGCCCGTCAAACTCTACCATTAGGTAAGAGTTCTATCATTCGGCGCACGAGGACTAGTTGAATCAACCGTCAAACTTGCTTGTGCAGGGAATTTATACAGTAATATCTGCTCTTTCGCTTGTGGGGCGTGAAATGATATACTGAGCATGCTTAAACACATTAAAGCGTATGTATAATGCGCATGTTACACTTTATTTCGTCCCACAACCACAACCTCTCGAGGACAATAGAAAATGGGTGTGATAGGTAAATAAACAACATAAAAACCTCATGGTCAGTCTTTCATTGAAATTCAAGACCCCGGCGCTGCGCCTCAGTCTTGAATTTCAACGAAAGATCTCCCATTCGGTTTTTATCCTATATAATAACTTGTGCCTTCATCAGGGCGATAACAGGGTGACATAAAAACGATATCGTCACTGGGGCAATGATTATTTTTAAAATAAATTCCGGCCCTGATAAAGGCACAAGTATATGATAAACTGGTCATCATAGTCGGGTTGAGGTAATATCAGTTTTATCGCTTTCAGAACGATATCATAAATTTAACAATGGGTCCGACCTAGGATGAATCCAGAATGACGCGCATTTTCTGTCAGCTTCTTACAAGTACTATACTGATTGTAATTAACCAACTACTACAAGTAGTTAAAAGACGGTGAGAAATTCTGTCATATAATTCATACATATAATTCTTATAGTCATGGTCATGGACATAGTACATTTTTAGAGGTAGTAGCTGTATACAGTTGCGTAGCCGGCCCGACGATCTAGTCCCGCTATGCAAATATTGCCATGTCTATAAGTCTTAAGGCTAGTTTCCACTCAGGAAAATTATCCGTGGATTGGAACGCACAAGAAAATTGTTCTTTGTCTTGTGAGCTCTGGGTTGGAACTAATCATGACTTTAACACAAAGAAAAATTTTCTTGTCCGTTCCAATCCACGGATGATTTTCCTGAGTGGAAACTAGCCTTTAAACCATCAACACAATAAATTTCTAAAGACATGAATAATGATGATTTGAAATTTGCATAGCGTGACTAAATCGTTGTGCTGGCTACGCCAGTGGCTATATGTATAATCAAAAAGACAATATAAGTATGTAATTACGCTATATTTTTGTTTTGTAATAATAAGGCACTCAATGCTCTTTCCACTCATCGCAAAAACAACTTGCATCTAATTAAAATAAATTGTCGAGTTGGTTTTTGCGATGAGTGGAAAAGGGCATTTAAGCATACACGAGGGACAGCAACGCGTAATAGTTTTAGGCTTTTTTTGAATGTCGAATTTCGTATAATTCTACTGTATTGGTCGACTTACATTTTTGCATTATGCACATGCAAAATTCGATGTTTGAAACAATTTCCACGTCTTTAGTTATGGTCGACCCTAAATTCGAACTTCTTGTCTTTTCCCACCACCCTCGCTTTCTTCATGATCACAATCACCAAGTCACTTTAATTAATCATTGCACCTGCCTCGTCCCTTGTCTCTTCAGTTTCGAATAGAGATGAAATGTGAAGCTCAAATTAATCGCGACCGCGCGTACCGCGTGCGGATGAGGGACTGTGGAAGAGTAAATCATTGCACAATTTAGGGACGGACCATTAGAAAAGTGATGGGGGGGGGGGATTTTCTAAGAGGCAATATATTTTTTTTTGTACACCTATAGAAGAAATATATTTTTTTCTCACTTGATGGTTGGAAATATTTTTTTTTAAAGGGCCCTACAGTAATTTTTTAGTCAAGTAAGTATTGTTCACATTTTTTGTTATTGTCGCTACTTGACATGCGCACCACAGTATGCATGCGTTTTCTGTGTGCGAAAGTACTAATACTCATGGATACTGCATGTAAGATACAGCCAAACGAATCTCCGTGGAGTCCCCTACTTAAGGTGGCTTTCGACTAAAAAATGACTGTAGGGCCCTTTAAGTGAAATTTATAGGCCTATTAGTGGTGTAGTCCTGGAATGTTAACAAGGGGGGGGGGCTCTCCAAAGTGCCCTGAATTGGCGGGAGGGGAGGGGAGGTACAATAAGATATTTTAGAAATTCTAAATTTTGTTGGGGTTTATTCTAGTAATTCGGGGACAAACATTTGACATTATTCTTATTAAAAACAAGCCGAAGCGAGGGCCGAAGGCCCGAGGAAATTTTTAAATTTAGAGTCTCTGAAATGCCATTTCCTGGACTTTGGGGAAGATTTGACAGAATTCTGATGGTCAGAAAACAGCGTTTTAGTATGTCGGAATTTACAATTAGTGGTACTAAATGATATAAAGATAACAAAAATGGCGATATAAAGATTACAAAAATCATTGTGTTAAATGATGAGTGAAAATGAGATGCAATTCTAAAGATCATTCTCGTTTACTGGTATTTTTTGTGTGTGTTTTCGCACGTTGTTAAGATTATCAATTATGCAACGTGCCAAAATATAGGGGGGCTCAGCACGCTGGTCACATTCAACAAATTTTCTCTCGCAGGCTCATATTGTCAGTGGACTTGCGGTGTAAAATTGAAACTTTTGCATTTTTCAAAGAACTGGCCACTTTCTGTAAGATGTCCGCTGTCAATACGAACCCGCACGAGTGGGAGAAATTTTGCTAAATTTGACCAATGTGCAGCCCCCCAAGTCAACATGAAATTTCAACAAGGGGCTCAGCTCCCCTGAGCCCTCCCTCCAGTACACCACTTGGCCTATCTTCTCAGCAAGGAATTTTTTTTTTGCACTATGCCTTGAAAGTTAGTTTTTTTCATTTTTTTCTGGGAATAAATTTTTTTTTTGGTTTTGCCCCCCCCCATCACTTTTCTAATGGTCCGTCCCTTAATCACCTGGGGCTGGTTTTGTGGAACGTTACAAACGTGGATATAATTTCCCAGAAATCTTGTCTGGATCAATCGGTGCTTGTAACGAGACATGATTCACAGTAGTTGCCACTAACTTGCCGACAAAGGTCATTGGCTCAAAACGTCGAGGTTTTGCTTGTATTTTTCAGGTTGTTGTATCCTCTTGCAGTTATCTTATTATCGTCACTATACTTACACTGCGGACCGTCCGATATAATATCGGGGTAAGGTAAATAATAGCTTTATTAGCATGACTATAAATGTACAGTATTGCTAAAGCGTATAAAAGTTATAACAATATATAGAGAACTATGGTAAACTAGGATTATACAATTTACAAATTAGTATATGACTGTGCAATAATACTTAATAGACTAACATAAGATTAACGTTAATAAGAATAAAAAGAAAGAATGTAGACAAGTATAATATTTACAAATAAGGTGGTTATTACAACCTCTGATAACTAGCACTCCTGGTTTCAAGGTATTTAAGCCTTTGTTCAAAACATGAAAATAAACAAATTTTGACAGTTTAGTTATGATTTCACTATCAGTTGACTTCATTAAGTCAGCTGATAGGGTTTGAGAGTTCAGTTTAATCTCGTTAGATGAGACATTCTCTAAAGAACTTCGGAGGTCTTCACGAGAATGCTCATAGGCTTTGCAAAAGAGTAGGAAATGGGTTTCGTTTTCCACCTCTCCTGAATTACAGATTTCACATAAGCGTTCTTCTCGGGGTGTATTTTGGTATCGCCCGATCTCAATTTGGAGGTTATGGCTGCTAACTCTAAAACGTGAAAGACATTTTCTCTTGTATGGGTCTTTTATAAGTATTAAGTATTTTTCGAAGTTGTGGTCCGTTTTGAATGTTGAATAGAAAGTTAATTTGGATGAATTTTCAAGTTTATGTTTCCAGAATGTCAAGTATTTTTCCTCAAGGGTTTTGGTAATAGCTTCAGTATGTTCAAAATTGGGTAACAGGGGTAAAAGGGCAATTGCCGCGGAGCCCCGAGGGGGGGGGTTGCAAATGAGGATAAGGTAAAATATGTATGGAACCACAGTTAAATATTCTCCCAGAATGTAGGCCAATTACTATTCTAGGGACTCTAGATTTCATAGGATGCCCCCGGACGCCCTGAATATTTAAGTACGTACAGAATACGTGTTGAAAAGATTATAAACATTCAAAACCGAAGGAAATAATCTTGCTTTTTGTCCTGAAACTTCAAGAATGTGGAAATCAATCTCTAAAAGAGCAAATAACTTTAACTACAAGAATCTTTGACGATAGAAAATCACTATAGGGACCCCAAATATTAAATTTGACCCGGGCCCCCAAATTTCTCTCTTTCGATCCCAGAATGAAAACTTTATTTCTTCGTGCTTTTACAGCCTCTAGTGCCCATATTTCTTTGCAATCTTTGCTTCTACTTTTATCGCTTCTCGAATTTCCCGCCATTTTCAAAACAGGAAATAAACAAATATAAAAGGAGAATACTGGAGAATAATTTGATACTGGCTGGATATGAACTGAATAGCGAAGAAACAATTATTCATACTATAAATGGCAGTTAATGTGCTTTATAAGTGGAATAAATGGAAATATGACACAAATTCACAGTTTTGTTGTTAAATTCCTCAAACAAATTAAGAAATTGTTGCTTGTATTTATTATTTTTATTTGGAAATTGTTATTAAGAAATTGTTGCTTGTAACTAAAAATGTTGCCAGCTCAAACATTTGTTGCTCATATATATGCACGAGTTAATGAGATCTTGCGAAAATCTCTCCGTTACATCAGCAAACCATAGGTAGAGGTCGCGGGTTCATTTCCCACCCGAGTTTAATGCAGGGGCGGCGCTAGACCTCTTTGAATGGGGGGGGTGTAGGTGATATTTACCGAGTTATTAAGGGAACGTGATTAACAACCACTAATTAATATTTCCCAAAATTGGGGCATATCGACATAAAACATTTTTTCCGGAGATCGTATCGTCCATCTTATTTTCGGTTAAGCTACCGTTGTTCGTTCCATTTTTCCCTAATGTTTTCGGAAATTTCTCCACATTTTAGCTATCAGTATTAATTTTAAATCAGCGTCACTCTATTATTTTGTTTTTTTCCGATCCAAATTCACGTTTTTCCGACTACGAAAGGCAGTTTGTCGACTAGCATTCAATATCTTGATGACTGGGGGGGGGGCGTGTTCCATCTCACCCACACACTCACCCCCTTAGCGCCGCCCCTGGTTCAATGGCCACAACCCGGCACAATTAAAATGCTTATATTTGCTCAGTCCTAAGGGGGGGGGGGGGATTTGCGAGGGGCCAAATAACCTAGGAGATATGCGCAAACTTAGCGTGGAGGGAGAATTTCCTGGGACATGGTTCCGACTTGAACTGTCAGCGTTATTTTGTATGTTTACTCGTCGTTCAAATACCTTGCTTCCGCCATTCACTACATGCATGCAGTCTATAATCTATATCGCGAGAAAACAGAAATCCTATGATCAAATTAATAGTTTAAACAAATATCAGTGAAATTTACCACACAAAATAACTCTACTCGCACGAAAATCTGACCATCGTGCATTCGTGCGGTGCGGTGGGGATGTGCATCGTCTGGGAATGTGACAGGAAACACCAATGATGGCAGGTGGACGTGCACGGTACGCATGAAGTAAAATACCAGGAGTTGTATTTATATAATTTATAAAATATTGGTAACTTGCTTCGTTTGCAAAATATTCAATTTTGTTTCATATGCAAATATCACCGGTGTGACATCACATCGCATAATGGCATTTTGAAAACGCAATATTTTACCTTGATATAATATTTTACACACAAATACAGAGGGTTAATTAATACATATACAAGAGCAATTTTTAAGTTTTTTAGATGCGTATTCGTCAAGAAAACCATACTTTTCTGAAAACTCATTATGTGATGTGATGTCACACCGGTGATATTTGCATATGAAACAAAGTTGAATATCTTGAGAAGGGAGAAAATTGCCAAAATTCTATAAAAGAAATTATTAAGTCATTTTAAGTGATCTTTACAATGCAACCATAAACATTTAGGGTGAAATTTCGTGTCATAGGCACTTTAAATTCCACTCGGAATTTCCATCTACAAAACACTTGAACAGTTCTATTATACCCCTACACACAACTGGTCGTCTGGATGCGCAGCCCAAATATTTCATTTTGGTAAAAAAATCACTGGATTTTCACACACGCAAAAGTCTCGCGTTATATATCCCGCGCGACCGCCTGCAGTCCCGCGGGACATCTGCGGGATTTCCATTGCGGAAATGAAAAGAAACCGGAAGTGTTTGCGATATCGAAATCGAGGCTGTTAATGTTTAGACACATGGATTCGCGGCTAAAACTATTCAATGTCGCCTGATGGCTTTATTTTTCAAAGTTCAACTCGAATACAACGTTCCACAGGGCGTTTAAAACTATATTTTTCCCGATGGTTATGGCTGCAGAGCCCGGCAAGTCTGGCAGCGAACAGGAAAAAAACAGTAATTTGTCTATACCGAGCAAGAAAACCGTGCCGAACATACAAATATGTACGAAATCAATACCTGCCGAGAACAGGAACGGTCAGATGGCTCTTCCAAAACTGGCCAGTTCAGTGAGAAATAATAAACATGAAGAGAACTTAAGAATGGATGTTGATACAGTTAGCCAGAATGGACAAATGCATAGCCGTGTTAAAGAGAAATTTATCTCTGAGGATGATAGTTCGAACAATAATCTGAAGTCTGACGTTTCACCGTCGCATCGTGATCAATTATTGCTGTTACATTTGGACCTTATTGAACGGCAGCAGCAATTAATTCAAGAAAAAGACAGAGAAATTTTGGAGTTGAAGAATGAGAAAGAGCAGGTATGGCAATGGTTTGTTAATTCTATGTATTTTGTAATGAAAATATGGCATTTGTTGGAGTACTTGAATGCTTTCGGAGATTTTTATACAGCGGTGACGTCACCTTTGTTTTGTCGGTCAGCGGTTTGTTTTAATTAATACTTCATTTTGTAAAGATCTTTGTCCACTGTCCAGTTGAACAAGGAAGTCTGGGCATTTGTCAATTAATGAACTAAATTAGGGAGCTTTTAAAAGCAAACAATTTTTTGTCAACACGGACACAGAGGAGACATACAGAGCTGTAACTGACCGTTGTATTAAACACTGTGGAAGCTTACGTTTTCATACTACCCACTTTTTTCGTACAAAATTTGAAAGTCCTTGAATGTGCTTGAATTTGAAAACAAAAATTCAAGGCCTTGATTGTCCTTGAATTTGTAAAGAAGTACTTGAACATCTTTAAATTTTTCTTGCTTTAGTTTTTGGATATTTTCTGAAATTATTTGACATTCAAAACTGATCATGTTTCGCTTGCTACTCTGGTTTTATAAATAACTACAAAGCCCAGTGGAATTGTAATCAAGACCCAACGTTTCGACACTCCAGTCTAGTGTCTTCATCAGGGGTGATCTAAAATTGCAATCATGGCTTCTTAAATACCCAAGGGATGATGTCACGTGCCAATGAGATGCATATATTCCTCTGGCTAATAGGCACTATAATCCCTATTCGAAGCATGATTACTCATATTTATATGCCACGCTTCTAGGCAAAGTCTTTGACCATAGCGATTGTTTGTGGTAATTACTTTAGAGTTTTCCCACGCAATCTCGTGTTTGGTGTTTGTTAGATTTTACCTGCTCTTAAAAAAAGATCTGGACAGTGTTATTCTTTCAGCGGACAAAGGCAATTGTGTTGTTGTTATGGACAAACATGATTATCGCGAGAAGGCTCTTTCACTGTTGAATGACAGAAATACGTATTCTATTCTCAAGTCTGATCCTACTAGAAAGACTCAAAGAGGTTTAAATGGCAAGTTACTTCTTTTGAAGAAATCCAATATTATCAGCAAGGCTACATATGAAAAGTTATACAGCAGTGATGGACTATCTCCACGTTTCTATGGTTTACCGAAAATCCATAAACCGGAAATCCCATTGAGACCTAAATATAATAGTGTCCTTTGTGAATTCTCCTACATATGGAGTTTCAAGTTTTTTGGTGAAAATTTTGTCCCCTGTGGTGGGAAATACCGAAAACACTGTAAAAAATTCCTGTCATTTTCAGACCTGCCAACTCCAGTGTCAGTAATATACCAACTCCCCAACCTCGCCGTATTAAATTACCGATTGGTGATAATTTAGGTTAATATTATGTGATTTATGCTTGTATAACGCTCGCTCCGAACTTGTCAAAATGGCGGATTTGCTCCTTCAAAAGGAGCTTAGCAGGCTTTTAGTCACAAATGTTCCTGTGTAAATGGCCGGAGAAAAACCTCCAGCAAACCCGTTGAAAAGTGGGAATTATCTTGTCGACAAGAAGGCGGTTGGCATCGACTGCAAGCATACTACAAGCTTGTGGCTAAACAGAAACACAGAGCTTGTAGTATGCTTCCTTTCAACTTCCAGTCGATGCCAACCGCCTTCTTGTCGACAAGATAATTCCCACTTTTCGACGGGTTTGCTGGAGGTTTTTCTCGGCCATTTCCACAGGAACATTTGTGACTAAAAGCCTAAATCACTTGTCGCTGCTAAGCTCCTTTTGAAGGAGCAAATCCGCCATTTTGACAAGTTCAGAGCGAGCGTTATACAAGCATAAATTACATAATATTAAGGGACGGACCATTATTTTTTTGGAGGGGGGGGATGGACATTTCGTCAACGCAAACAATTTTTTTTGGTGCTGTTGTCGTTGCAAACAATTTTTTTGCACCTGCTTCCTTCTGCAAACAATTTTTTTGTCCATCTGATTGCTGTGGATTTCATTATAAATTGATATATATATATATATATATATATATATATATATATATATATATATATATATATATATATATATATATATATATATATATATATATATATATATATATATATATATATGATAGTTTTGGAGTTGAAGTACTAGATACTTGGAGTTAAAATACTAGAATATGTACAATAAAAAGTCTCAAAAAAGTTCTAAATTTTCGGTTGCTAACTGCAACCTTCATCAGAGTACTAAGAGCAGTTCGGATAGTTCAAGGTTTTAAATATCGTCATTATTGCCACATGATTGCACAAGCGATAAATACATGCGTGGGAATTCTTTGTGTTCGTTAATTGTTTTATTGTCTATATTATATATATATATATATATATATATATATATATATATATATATATATATATATATATATATATATATATATATATATATATATATATATATATATATGCTGTTGGGGCGACCAGTGGAATACATGATAGTTTTGGAGTTGAAGCTGGTCTAACTGACTCAGTTGAAACTGACTTAGAGAATATACTGAAAGAGCTTCGACGCTCGGAAAACATAACTGATAGAGAATATTGGCAGCTACGAGCTTTTGATTCTTCCCCTGCTACATTTTATGGTTTGCCAAAAGTCCATAAAGTGTCTCTCATCTGCAACCAAGACCACTATACCCTGGGCGAAAGTTCTGTGGACGTCATTCCTTTACGTCCAATTAACAGCAACATTGGTTCACCTACATATTCCCTATCAAAATACCTTGCAAAATTGTTAAAGACCTTTTGCGCAAAAAACGAGTTTTCTATAAGTAATGGGAAAGAATTCGCTGATTTTGCCAAAAGTCAAACGTTAGGGACGGATGAAACGATCGTCTCTTTTGATGTTGTGTCCTTATTCACATCCATACCTGTTCCGTTTGCCTTGCATATTGTACAAAAGAAACTTAAAGAAACTGATTCATGGAAGTCACATACAGCACTGAAAGAAGAACAAGTTGTGAAACTATTAAAATTCCTACTTAACAATTGTTACTTTAAATTCAATGAGACACACTATCATCAGAAGTCAGGATGCGCCATGGGATCACCTGTTAGTGCAGTCATAGC